AATGTTCATGATTACTGTCTTGTGGATCATTGTCTATCACTGTATTATTGTCACTATCAACTTCATCCAATTCAGGAATCATTATTTCATCGCCACTATCATCATCAGAACAAATTTCGTTCACAACATTTTCCAGCTGGTCTGTAGGAACATGAAGACACTTGCTGCAAGAAGACATGGTGAAACTGAATGAATGTGAAATATTTTCTGACCTTTTCCTTCTCAGAGGGTTCTGACAGTAATATAGACCCCCACAAAGTTTACAAGGGTTCTTTACAAACATGCACAAAAACTATCATATATATGTCTTTGGTTGATGAGTGCCAAGAGAGCAAAGAAGGGAGGAGATTGTCAAAGCGTTAAAACACGCCAACGCCAGGGAACGGCTGGCATCGTCTGGGCGTTAAAACACGCCCGCGCCAGTCAAAGAGTTAACATTTTGTACATCGGCATTCGTCTATCTCATACTGGTAATGTTGAAGTAGCAAATATAGAACAGTGTCATAGATGGACATATACACATGAGATGTGAGAAAGAAGTGCATAACAGAATTTTATTAGGAAAATCCTTTGACAATTCTCCACTTGGAAGGCTAAGGTGGGGCAGGATACTCTGCCATCAGGTGGTTAGTTTGCAAGCTTCTCACTGTGGAGCATGGGTTCAATCTTAGGATAGTCTGTGTATGATTTTTGTTGGACAGAGTAACCTTGATGCAGGTTTTTGTATAAGTACTTCAGTTTTCCCCTACCATTATAATTTTGTCAATGCTCTATACTCATCTATCATCTTAGTCTGGTACAGTTGTGTATATAGTTAAATATTTTATTAGGGCTGTTGCAATTTACATTTTGGGGTGCTAGAGTTTGACTCCCTGGTCCTACATTTCAGCATCCCACTCAGATTACAGTTCCTATGATACAGAAGTTATCCCTTATAAATTAACATTTTAATTATTCATGTCCTAGTGTTGCATCTGTTTGTTACTACTCATCTAAATATTGTCACGTATTGGGCGTATAACGCGACAAATAACTTCACGCCGTGTTTGATATAGTGAATTTTATTTCACATTCGCACTTACAATCACCCAAATTACAGATTGACAATTGCTGCTATCTGCAGTATCACAAATACTACACTCCAAATGCCAGAATGCAACTGACTGGTTGCAGGCTAACTCGGAACTCTCTCGGAACTAACTCGTAGGTAGCTGCCTTGAGAACTGTTGATCACACACTGACTCTCGCTTGCTGCTCAGCCGGCTTTTATTCCGTTCGCTGTTGCTACGGTCACCCGCCACGTCACAATAGGAAGCAGTGCCGCGTCACCGTGTTTGCATATAGCCTAGCAACGCTGTTACCTCGCGCCGTCTTATGTCACCGTGGAAAGTGGGGGGAGGGAGCACTACGTTACCATCACGTGCCGCTGGGGAGATAGGGGTCCTCCGTTGCGCAACATGTCACAATATATTCATACTTCACACATTTTTTCATACTTTTCTTTTGCATTGTATTTAATGAGATTGTCACATGATTGAGTGACCATAGATGGGGTTTGGATTGGTAATCAGGTTTATTGATTTCTTAAACACACAATTCATGACTGCACTTTCTCCATTTTCTATTAGATTATCCATGTTTGAGAGTGCAGAAATGCTTTAAGGTGCTAAAAGACATATCCTGTATTCTCAGGTTGCGGACCAGTCTGGAAAGACTCTGAATCTACCTCAAGAGGAACGGGAAGCTTTGGTGATCGCAATGTCTCTTCATGAAACAGGAAGGCTGGCATTGAAAAAGGAAGACTATGCTTTGGCCCTTGTGCTTCTGCTCGAAGCTGACAAAGAATTCAGGTAGGTGTAAGTGAATGCCAGCCTGTTTGGTGGATTTGTACAGTGAAACAACTTGCACCATATTGTGACATGACTGCAGAAATTCAGAATAGGGGAACAAGAAGAGGTAGTCATTGCTAGGTAACAGTGTGGTAAACACATTTCCACAGCATTAGATAGTGACATAGTAATGGGGGATACCATCTTTTCTATGTGGTCCTTGCCAAGGCTATACAGTGAGGACCAGCACAGACTTGCTTTATTCCACCGCTCTCGGCTACTCTTAACTGGCTCAACACTGACGAATACTCTCATTATATAGCTTCCACACTGACTACACAGAAAACAGCCTATATTGTTGGAACATGATTACTGAGCGATTGCCCATCAACGGACTCCATAGAAATCGGTTATGTGATAGCCACCACTGTTGTGTGACGTCACAGCCTAGTATGGATGGGTGTTTACCGAGCATTGCGTAGTGACAGGCTGGGTGGGGGTATGTGACGTCACTCATGGAAAAACAGAGGTCACGTGACCCCTACTTCCCGTTGCATAATTCAAGCGTTCACAGAGTTGTTGCCTAGCAACGCGCTGATACAATCCACAGCTCTCCTGTTGCACACATGGCCCGAGGCCTCTGTGCCTCAAAAGTTCCCGCATAGAGCCAATACACCACATTGCTCCCTCCTTAAGACTCTTCATCTCAAACAGCCTAATGCTACATCCTCGTTCCTTTTCTTCCAAGTGCTGTGCTTACAGCGTCTTCTTTTTCTATGGCTTGGTGTTCCTTTCCTTCCCGTTGTCCATTCTCCAACTGCTAACATGCCAGGTGATCCAGTTGTATCACAATCATCCAACGTTCTCTCTCTTTTTCTCTCAGCCGCGCTGGGGGGGCCAGTGCTTTTATGTTACCGCCTCTTCCTCTGTTTCATACTTGTATCATATAGGTTCATTTTGTGACGAAAGGAAAGAATGCAAAAGTGCCAACTGAAGAAAGAGCTTGAAATATTAAGTCATTGTGAGAGATTAGTACTCTCAAATTGTTAAGCTGCTTGACAAAGGAAACTGGATTTTTGTTGAGATCTGCATTCACAGTCACAAGATTAATTGTTATCTCTATAAAATAATATATGTACATGAGCTTAAGCAACCAGATTATGCAGCAAGAATTCATGTTTGCAGCAGGTGGCTGCAGAATGTGCACAGTGAAATCATAGATACAAGACTGGTATTTGTAACCAATAAAGTTTTGATCCTTGTACTGTGAAGGGGACTAATAGCATGATGCTTACCTATACACTATAGTTTATTGTGTTATTTTATTCTTGAACACACTTCAGATTGACAAGACCCCATATATAAGTAGAGTTTACTTAAATATGTGTTATGGTCATTGTGGAGGTGTAAATCTAAGTTGTTGTATTTATTACCATGATGTGTATTTCAGGTGTCATCTTGGGTTAACCTGTTGGTTTCAGATTGTAGCTCTTGGTCATAATTTCACTGAATTGGCCAAGATATGACTTGGGGGGGGGGAACCTCTGTATCCTCATAAACTGATTCATAATTCATGATAAAAACTAGGGTTCACATATCCACTTCTGATATCAATAACACTCATACGATAGAAACAGTAAATTTCAGCAAAGACTATTCAGTTGTTCATTACATACATACTCCTGTATAATGCATCAGATCGTGTTCATGCATGTAACTCTTTAACATTAATTGATGATAGTGTAATTTTGTAGCTTTTTTGAATCTGGTTACAAAACCTAAATTTTTACTGTTATCAGGTTGAAATAATTTTTTGAATGAGCTGTTTTACATTTCGTAGGTGCTTCTATACACAAATTTTACTTCAATGGATAATGTTTACAGAATTATATAAATAGATAACTTTTAAGAGGAATGTTTTAGCTTTGGAAGTAAAACATATAAATAAGTTGAGTAATAATTCATGATGAGAAATTATGTCAGGTTTATGAACAACTGTAATTCTTCCTGTACAGCCGCTGCAAATCTGATCTACTCCAGTCAGTGGATAACTATGCGCTATTGAACTTGGATATTGCATGGTGTTACTTGTGCTTACGTAGTGTGTCGGACATCCCTGATGCAGAACAGAGATTACGTAAATGTGAAATGAACTTTCATCAGAGTTATGGACCTAACTTGGAGAGACTTTTAGCACTAAAAGGAACTACAGGTAATGATTACATATTTCTGTCTCCATTAATATAGTTGGGTGTTCAGTTCGAGTTTAGTGTTCATCTGTTCAAGCAAGTGTGAGGGTAGTGTGCATTAGACTAAGAAGCTGCAGCTTCACTTTTTGTAGATACGGTGAAAAGTCACACACTGTAGTAATATTAACCAACCAACTTACTTACTTACTTACTTACTTACTTCATGGAGCTGAGCCCTTCTTGAGAAGCCACCAATTATGCAGCCACTTGAACCTCCCCATTTTTTTACGGGAACAAAGGTTCATCACCATGTTCACAAGAGCCCTCAACTGCTCCCCATCCTGAGCCAGATCAATCCAGTCCATACTACCCCACCCTGTCTCTCTAAGATCCATTTTAATATTGGCCACCCACCTACGTCTTGGTCTTCCTAGTGGTCTCTTTACTTCTGACTTTCCCACCGATATCCTGTATGCCTTCCTCTTCTCCCCCATTTGTTCTTCATGCACTGCCCATCTCCTCCATGACTTGATCTTTCTAACTATACTTGGAGAAGAGTATAAGTTATGAAGCTCTTCATTAAGCAGTTTTAATAAGTAATATTAAATATTACCAAATATTTTTATTCCTTGCTTAACCATCAGACCATTGTAACAAGATAATGTTTGGAAACATCATGTAGTTTATAATTTCTCTATTTGCATTGTACACCTGAAAGTCAAAATTCTTTGGTAGTATATGAACATGAATTTGGGGACACTTTAATATTAAGTTTTCCATGTGTCATTGCTGCTCATTTGCATATCTGAATGACTGCACTGCTGATGGCTGGCCATTATTGTCTTCCATACTTTGAAGATCATAATCTTCAATTTATATTGCCCTGTCAGTAGTTGTCATTTAAGGTCTAAATTCCTTGTTTGTTTTTTTTTTAATTCAAGATATTTTGTGTAAAATAATCTGCTCATAACTACATGGCAATTAATATGTGAAGCTTATGTCTGTGTATCCTACATAATTAGTCTCAGTGCTGCAGCTGTGTGTCAGAGATTAGCAAATGAGGGTTATGTTGGGAAGTTAATGTATAGCCCTTGTATACTTGCAGTGGTATCAATGTTGTAATAAAAAAAATGGCAGAAAGACTAATGCAGTTTTAGTTTATTTTTCTTTCCAGTCAGTTTGCATGTTGTAATAATCTTTGCATCATAAAATGTTACTTTAAGGATAGGTCAATCAGTGGCCACCATGATGAATGGACTCAGTTGGACTCCACCCCCCAAACCCCCCAACTAAATGAATTAAAAAAATTACTTTAAAGAAAGATGCAACCACTGGAATTCTATTCCAAGAGTGATGTCTCCTGTCAACATTGTGCAGGTAATGAGGCTGCATTGTTCATGAGACTGCACCTGCTGCAAGCGGTTGTCCTGTTCCACCAGAATAAACGACAGGAAGCATCAACGTTGCTGGCGAGAGCAGACTCTGAGCTTTCTTCTCTCAAGGTGGATGATTACAGCCTGAGTACTCTTATGGAGCTGGGTGTGTAATATACAGCTACAGTCCTTTTTTATTATACAAAGTTTTCACTCAACTTATCAGCCGGTTTATTATTTTTATGGTTGATACCTTAATTTATGATCTCTTATCAAGCACACCAAGTAGAGGAATCAATTTCTAATATTACAAGGGCAAATCAAAAAGTCTTTGCCCGTTTTTTTTCAGCCACAATAATACACATATAAGGAAATCAAAATACAGGCAGTGTTCTAAGTACTTTTGACTATTTTTCCACATAGTCACCACCCCGGTCCCATCACACCACTAGTTTGGAGATGCCGCTGTTGTAGAATTTGGCTGGTTGAGCACGGAACCACCGCCGCACAGTGGATTTTGTGTCGTCGTTGGAAATGAACCTCTGGCCTGCCAGGAACTTCTTCAGTGGACTGAACACGTGGAAATCACTGGGGGCGAGGTCTGGATTATACAGTGCATGCTCCATAATCTCCCATCCGAATGACTGCAGTTGGGTGGCTGTCCTGTTTGCCACATGAAGCCTGGCGTCGTCATGGAGGAGAACCATATCATCCACGAGAATCCCCAAGTGCAACTGCAGTCAGTGCGCTCAGCCAGCTGAATTCTACAACAGCAGCATCTCCAAACTAGTGTTGCAATTGGACACATGCCTGAACCGGGGTGGTGACTATTTGGAAAAATAGTCAAAGGTACTTAGAACACTGCCTGTATTTTGATTTCCTTGTATGTGTATTATTGTGGCTGAGAAAAAATATGGGGAAAGACTTTTCGATTTGCCCTCATATATTTCAAGATCCTGTTGCATTGATATACCTTTTATAGTTGTTTTCTTTTTCTGTATAAATTGCAACAAATTGATAATATTAAATGTGAATTACTGTTATCAATTTGTTGAATTATGGATGGAAAAAGAGAACAACTGTAAAAGATCAATTTCTAAGGTGGCAACACGCATGAAGTTGATTCTGCAATTCCAGATGTTAGAATACGGTGGTAATTATGGCTGGGCTAATGGAATCTGCAGCCTGTACAGTTTTGTATGTAGGTGGAAAGATGGGATCCACATTTCAAATGTAGCAAAAAAAAAGTTTGCTTGCAAATTTTGCCAGTGATCTAACCTGGGATCTACTGATCAAGTGTCAGTCTCCTTATTGGAGTCTGCTACTTCACTCTTTGTTAATCTTATGTTGAATTAGTATTTGATGATAGATGAGAAGGAAGGATATAAACAGGTTTAAAATCCAGCAAATCACATCATGAAAGGAACTCTTTTATACAAGTAGTTTCAAAAGGGTCTTGATGATGGTGTATAACACTCCGAGTTACTGGGTTTTTGGACTTGTCCATTGTCCAGTATTCTATTTAGGTCATTCAAAATGATTGACACTGCCTCCATAACTCCAGAAAAGTAGCAGTGTCAAATGTGAGCCAGTGTATGAGGGAAGACATACTGTAGTGCTGCCTATGGCCACGAGATGACGTTGCTACTGAGCACAGGTCGAACAGTGCTGCGTCATTTGTGGCGGTGTGCAGGTGCAGTCGTGGACAATGCTCAGACAACATGGAAGCAGACCATGGGCAGTGGTGGACTGTGCGGTTTCTCTGGAGGGAAGGAGCGGCTGCTTCACACATTCACACGAAGTTAGCAGCCATATGCGGGGAAGCAGCACCAAGTCACAGAGTAAGACGTTCACCTCCAAGGATGAGCTTCAGGCAGTTGTCCAGCAGTGGCACCAGGATACCTCCAGAGAACGGTTTGCTGTGCAAATACGGAAACTGGTGGAATGATGGAAGAGGTGCAGAGACATGGGCGGGGAATACCTCTAAGATAATCTGTATGTATTTTGTTCCAGTAAATGGTTACTGTGAAGAAAAAACATTTTGTGTCAATCATTTTTGAATGCCCGTAGTGAAAACTGGAGAATGCAACATTTTGGAAACTGGATCTGTTTCTGTCCTCATGTGAGGGAAGTTGGGGAGAGACACCTACTCTATTGGGTGCTTCAGAAAGCTAACCTCAAATCATTGGACAACCCATGCCAGTATAACTGCAGCTATATAAACATGAAAGATTTTCGTATGACACACAATGGGACCAGGCTTTATGAAAGAGAGATAACAGGAAAATGTGCGATAAAAATTGTGATAAATTAAGCACAGACCTGAAACTAAGATTGAAAGGGGATGAACATTTTATGCAAAACACTGAGTCCATGAAACCAATGCATAGGATTAAATGGAGAATTTGTGAAACCATTTTGTGCCTAATGCCAGTATCATCTGTGAATAAAAACTGAACACTTGGGTCTAGAATCTTATAGAAACCCATGAAATATCTGTCACATTATACTGATCTTCTCTGTGAGTTGGTAACCTCATTTTTTGGGTATTATTTCTATATATGTATATTTAAAATTATTTTATTTATATAGATTACAGTGTACTTAACTATAAGGACTTATTTCTATGGTGAGTTTGTTAGCTATTACAGGCTTCTGATCTTGGGGAGTTGTATTGAAATATAAATTTGAGTACTGCTCAGGTGAGCTATATGAGTATATTCATCAATTTGAATTACTTACTGTGTATCTAATTATCTGCTTATGTTTATGCCTAAACAACTTAGGGTACACAGCAGCAGAGGCCCGTTTTGGTCTTCGAGCAGCACACGGTAATTTATCAGCAGCTGTTTTGTACATCACAAAACAGCGAGAAGATAAGGTTAAAGCCAAGAAGGAGGAGGAGGCTGAGACACAACTAAACAGGTTAATATGAAAGAATTGTCTCCTTCAAAGTTGATGATTAATTTGCGAATTTATTCTGCAGGAAGTAAAGAGCATCTTGTCTTCACCATACAAAAGTTTATATGGCAGATGCTTATGCTTAATTCACACCAACGCCATACATTACATTATCTTGCGGATTGTTTGCAGCACTGCTAAGTGGCAGGTATGGTTATGTTCCAAATTATAATGATAGATAATGTCTCATTCTTATATCAGCACTAAATCCTTTTCAGCTTTAAAAGTAAGAAGTGGTTATTAGAAGGTGAGAATAAGTTGGAATGGTGTAAGGAAAGCAGCAGGATTTATATCTTCACATTTTGTTGTTATCTTACTGGATTTTATTGGCATTAATCACTTACCACAATTTATTCTTTTTTTGGAGCTTGTAAAGCAAAGTAATAATAAGACAGAAAATTACAGAAAACCATTATGCTTTGCTAATGATTCATGGGTTTTATTTTAGGGTGTATACGATTTCCTTCCGCTTTGTTGTGAGTTAAGTTATAGACCAGATCAGTGAAAGTAAAGGTACATTTATAGTAGTGGACAAGAATAGCCTCAGTGCCTGACAGTAGCAGATGTATTGTAGGTAAAGGGTGATGTATTTTCTGCAGGGAACGTAGAAAGTTGGGTCGATGTGCAGATGGGTTTCAGTGGGTGGAACCCAAGTTGCATAAGTTGCTGATATCTATGGGATTTTCAAGCGAGGCAGCACGTTTGGCTCTTCAGCAGAGCAACAACAATGTGTCACATAGTGTACAGCTGATCCAGGAGCAGCCCAGTCTGTTGAATATGGCATCTACATCAAAGTTCAGAGTCAAGAAAGAGGTGTTGCAGCAGGTATTCTCAGCAGCCTCTCATGAAAGGGCAATGAAACTTCATTTTTTCCCTATATTATGCACATTCCCTTTGGTTCAAGCTAGATGCTTCTAAAGGCATTGTAATGGATTTTGTGTTTCCTCAGTTTTACATATTCCCAACTGTGTACTCTGTTTTCCTCATCCTCACAATATAAATTTTATGTTTACATCCTGCAAAGTGATTCTGAATTATTGTCGAGGTTTCAGTGTCCTGTATTTTTCAAACTGGAAACAAAATAAAACTGCTTACAGAATGTGCAAGTTTAACTCAAAGCATTTTATTAGCTGTAGAATCAATACTACAGAATGCTTAACAACTTCAACATGAATGCCTTTTGTGGCGCATAAGCAGTTTTATTTTGTTTTTCCCAGTTTGAAAATTATAAGCCACGGAATCCCCTATAATAATTTAAAATCACTCTGTATTTTAGAAAATTAAAATGAACACGGAGCTGTTCCACAAATGTTCAGTGCTTGTCTTAATAAAAGTAGTAATGTCTTTGTATGTGAAAGCTTTTGAACTGCACAGAAGATGTGCACAGTCTGAGAGCTCCAGAAGAAAGTAACAACTGACTAGTTAAAGGATTGACTTGGTATGTAAGTTAATGTGTTTGCGTTTACATTTGTTACTGTCTTCAGATGTGTATGCTTTGAAGGGCTGTCTAAAGGTATGGTGTGAAGAAACCAAAATTTTCCTTTATGTTGCATTGCTTTTATTCTCCTGTTTGTACACCTCCCTTCAGTTTATGTTCACTTCCAAGTGATCCTTTCAGAAGCATAAAATCTTGAGTTCTCACCATATTGGTACCTGTTACATTCTGTGCCCAGGTGTCTGAACATGGACACATACATGTGGTTGTGAAATTTAATTTTCTTATTTTGTGCATCTGCTCACATGTACAGACAGACATGTTGATCTTTTATATCATCTGGCACTTTAAAATTGATATATTTTCTTATTAGTGAACATAATAGGATGACACTTTCATGGACCTCAATATACAAGAATATTTTTGATATCCATTGTCAACACTGAACTCCATGTCAAGACAGTGTCATAGTGAATGATATGGATTTTTTTTTTTTTTTTGTTTAACATTTTTATTCTTCTGGCAGTTGTAGTGTGTTTCTATGCAGAAAAGAATTGTGAAGGATTTGTGTTTGTTACGTCAACCAGAGACACTATTTATTGGTGTGTCAGAAAGTTAACAAAAAGGAAGTTAGGGTTAAATGTGTAAGGGAACTTCATGTAGAGTATCTGCCCATAAGGAATTATTTGCCAGTACAACAATGGAGACAGAAGAAGTCTGAGAAAAATATTTGAGGTTTATCTCAGGGAATATGAGTTGCAGTCTGTAACAATGATTTTGGTATGTATTTCAGGTCATTTGGCCATTATCAGAGAATAATATGATCTTAAACTTTTATGAACAAAAACTGGGTATTTTGAATGTCACACAGTTTTCACATGAGGCACACTTAAGATTGAATCGTTCGTTAACAGTGCCTGACTTTGAGTGTTAGAGAATCTAGCACTTACTGTCGCATTGACAGGTACTAGTAGTTACAAACTGCTATACTTTGTGGGTCAAAATATTCAGTTCTGTGTTCACTGATGGTATTAACACTTCTGATGTTACCTCAGTCTGCTAGGAGATGAATTTGTTCCTTTCCTGCAGGCATACGACATTGCAGAGCATAAGGCTGGCTTTCAGAGACAGTACTAGACCACATCATGTGACCATTAGCACCTTGTTCAGTTTTTTCATGATTTTTTCAAGGTGAAAGTTCAGTCAGAGCTGTACCATGTGCACATAGAAGAAGAATTACAATGGTCCATAACTCTGCTGCTCTAAACCGTTGTTACTCTTGTTTTCTTGTCAGATTATATGATATTTTGTTTCACACAAATCTACACAGAATACATGAACTGAAAATTGCTATTCAGCAAGAAATTACAGTATTTCTACGAAAATTCTGGCAAAGTTATGTGCTGTTTTGTTGTTTATTTATGCCTGAGGATGTTAACTTGAACATATTTTGGTTTAAAAAAAAATGTGAGAGTTTCATGCTGTTGCATTAACTAATAAAAGTATATCACTCGTTTTAAAGTGTGAAATGATAAATCGTTCTATATTGTAACAAATTTTTTTCCTTCCCTATGATAAGGCCTCTCCTCCCACTTTATATATTCATTCCATTTTATGCAGGTTGTGGCTGTTGGGTTTGACCCCCGCATGGCAAAAATAGCTTTGCAGCATCATGGGGGTGATGTGGAAAAGGCAGTGGATGAATTGGTAATGTGCGGTGGTATTATTGATGGTGAACACTGCACTGATGGTAAGCATTGCTTTCTGTTGCACCTTGTAATTAACCTGAGTTTTGAGAGTTAATTTATTTACTTATTTTTGGAAAAATGTTTGTTATTAAAACAGATTCAGATGATTCAGAAGAACAAGAGCAAGACGATACGAAGAACAAGGCAGATGCAGAAATGCAAGCTAGTACAAAGAAGGAAGCTCAAGAGAAGGAACGACTAGCATATCAACGTTTGGCTGAGGGTTTGCCAAATGAGGAAGATGATCATTTGGACCTGACTCTAGAATTAGAAGAAACATTTTTAAGGGAGTATCAGGCTCTCTTAACAAATCCTTGAGACAGGTCTCTTTAAATGAAACAATGGCATTGTTAGTCTGCAAAATCCTACCTAGAGAACATTATTGAGTGAATTATTACCTCTTGATTACAGCCAAGACATGTCCTTTTAATTTAAGTCTTGGAAAACACCAAACTGTTGATGACTAATAATGTACCCAGAAAGATGTATTTTAATATTCTTTTTGATACCCTGTCTGGTCATACCTCTTATTGTGTATATCATGTGGCTCTTAACCGCGATGGAGTTTAAGTGTGAACAAGGTACCAATAATTGTTATATGTTGACACTTTCTTAGAAATAAAGTGATAAACTCTTATTGTTGTGTACTTTCTTTAAGTAACTGGTATGTTTCATTCATCATTCCACAGAGAATATCTAATTTCATGCAGGTGATCAGCCTATCCTCTGTATTGTTGAGTCTTCATCCTGCATTTAATTTATAACACCAGATGCTTCATTTGTTTATATGTTTTTATTCATACTTTCCATAGATGAAAAACTGTATAATGCAGTTAAAATTCTGTAAAACCATCGATCCCCTATGCTTGATATATGACAGTGAAACATGGACACTTAGAATAGAAGAGCAGACAAAAGATGATTGGAAGCTGCAGCCATGTGGTTTCTATGATGTATAACAGGTTATGCTCTATGAAACAAGGAAAATGGTGATGAAATAAAGTTGCAGCTAAGAAGGAGGAAGTTGGCCAAACAAAAAAAATGGCTGAACATCTGCAAAGGATGCAATCAGAAAGAGCTCCCAAGCAACATTCATATTATCATCCTATAGGAAGGCCAAGAAGTAGGTACTGGAGCCATCAGCGCAACAGTTAAGTAAATTAAATTTAATAAAATTGATACAAATATAGCGTCTTAATCAGTTTTGTCTCGTGCAAGCACTGCGTGCTCATGTGGTTTGTAAATAAATAGATAAAAAAATATTGAATTGCAGAGTTATCCATTTTTATGTGGAAGATGCAATAAATTCTTGTGTTAAGTGATAAAATATAAATTGTAAGAAGAGTGGATGAAGTGCGATGTGGGACTTCTTATGTGTGCCATAGGAAGGGTGTACATGTGCGGTTGAGTGATGAGTAATACAGTGTTTGTTGACAGTTTAATATTTTATATTACTGGTAGATCTGTCCTGTTCTGGAAGTTTATTGAAGTATTTTATTATAAAATTTGATTTTACAACTATGCAAATTGCAGTTTCCTGTTATGTATATACTTATGTGTAATAGGCTCTGTGGGCCTATGTGAGGTGTGTTGTACTATGTTGGTGAAGAATGTTGTATATTTTCGATTGGCTGTAGTATGCAAGTATGAAGAGAAAAACATATGGCTTGATGTTTGAGGACAGAACAGGCCAGCAAGTTCAATCCTTGCAGTTGGTGGTGGTGGCAGCGGTGTCTGCGGTGGTAGTTTAATTTTCAAGAGATGCCAGCGGAGTTTACTGTTACTTATGTTATCAAGTACAGAAGTTATTTAGAGCAGAAGGGGGTGGTGGTTTTTCTTAATAAGGCGTCTTGTTTATATGAGAGAAACAGTCAAGGTAACCAGTGTGTCATATCTTAAATGACAATATAGTCTCATTTTTTAACTTTATATTATTAAGGTTGTGTTAGTGGTAGTTCTTGTGTCTCTGGCAGGGAGTTCTAGAAAGAGGAATGTCCAGGGAGGCATAAATCCATGATAATGATGGAACCAATACAGTGCACATTTTAGCATCTTTCATTTTGTACAGCTACAATATTTTATATATGTGATTGTTCAAGCATGCAAATTCCATAAGCAGTTTTTCTGTGTAATGAAAATCATAGTAAAAGTAATGGAATGAGTTGACGGATACCAGAAAGTGGTGAGTGTCAAGATTACAGTCTTCTGGATTTGAGGACACACATGGATACCACCATTTTGTAAGAACCTGCTACAAGGTAGAAGATGTAGACACCAGATGCCTTAAAAGCATCGGTACCCACATAACAAACTATGTAATGCACATCCCAGATGGATTTTTTTGCATACAAATCATAAGTCTTTTATTATTCATCCATGAGTTTGGGTATCAGAAACCATGAATTGAATTGAACGTAATAAAGGGCCGCACCATAGCTCAAGTAGTTAGTCATTGGCTTCCCACTGTGGCGGCCCGGGTTCGATCCTGGGTCTGGTCAAGTGGGATTTGTAATGGACAAAGTGGCGCTGGGGCAGGTTTTCTCGGAGTACTTTGGTTTCCCCTGCCAATCGTCATTCCACCAATTGCTCCACAATCACCCTCACCTATCATCTAGGGCTGGTACAATAGGCCAGAAGTGGCCGCAGTACAAGGGACTTAGTTCCACCCAACCAGCGATAAATAAATAATAATAATAATGTAATAAATATGATATTCTGTTTGAAGTATTTTGTTGAATTATAAGGAACAAATGAAAAATATGTTCATAGTGGAGAGTGAAACTATAATTGATACTTCGCATAAAAGCTTTTGTTGAATGAAGAACTGAGTTACTGCAGAATATGTCTGATGCAGAGGTTGCTAGTTATTTCAGATCTGTTTACCATTTCCTTGTCTGCAGATTTTTTATGGCTAATATGCCATATTGTAGCCTTCAGCATTTCCTTGTCCCCTTTCACTTGTCACTTATAACGTCCTGTTAGTTCTCAGTGTCGCAGCACACACATTAATGCAGTGTAATAACATGAAAGATGGGACAAAGAAGAACAAAAATTCACAGATTAATTATATGAGAGTAGGCAAGTTAGAACTGTTTGTTTTAGTTGGATATAAACTTCCCATGAGGCAAGTACTTAAGCGCACATCTTTACACTTTAGTCCTGAAACATTCTGGTTACAGTTTGTGTAGTATGTTAACTCTGTTTTATAGTTTTAATTAAAACAAAATTTTGCAATGCTGCAATACTGGATAAGAATATCTTATGTTATGAGTAATTCCTTTATTTCCTAGTTTTGTTTCAAACAATATATAGTTGTGCTATATTACTGAGAAATAATAATCTATATAAATAGCCATTCATTACTCAACTGATTCATTTCATTTTGTTATGAATGTTGTTTCCATCTAAAATATTAAACTTCATTGGGTAGTTTTGTGGTGCATTCGGATCCTGACTGACGTCAGAACCAGCAGTCATTACGCTATGAGGAAAATGATCATTGTTTATCTTGTCTTTTTGGGATGCGTTGCTGACCTCTTGTTGTTTCTGGTTCATCTTTATCATCCAGTCACCTAAACAACATAAGCAAAATGTTGTATTCCATATTAAATTTGTCTCATAATTGTTTTTTCATGGAGTTGGCCAAAAAAAAGTAAAGCTATCCCTGTAACAGGCTGTGAAGGCCCATAGGGTTGTGAGACATTGACGGTCCTACATTAGCTAGACAATCAGCTCAAAGATGGCACACTTTACTCCCCAGTATAATTACAAAACAAAGTAAGAAAGAAAAAATCCATTATATGCTACATCAGTGTGTCTGATGTAGTGATGTGTGAGTTATTGCAAAATTATATTATGGACACATCCTATGAAACTTCTATCTTAATTGTAACTTCATATTCAGTATTGTCAGACAAATCGTGAAAACTCAGGTCATGTTATTAAATCTACACAGTTTAACAATTATGGAGTGTTCGCTGATTTTCTTTTATTTATCTCGAAAATTTCAAGAAGTGTAAAAGTGTACTGATCATATAATGTTTAATTTCCTTTACCATTTTTGTTCATAACATTTTTAGCTCAGTTTGACTAGAGAATTAGCAATATATTCATGTAGGTGTTTGTGTTGTATCCAGAACGGTGATAACGGTTTACAGATTTGAATATGACTCTCCAGCAATAAATTTCATGAAAATCCATTCAGCAGCTCTTTGTTATTAGATGCATACAGATGGTCAATGAGACAGACAGATTTTTGCAACATTTCATTGGGAATGCTCCACCTAAAACCTGTGTGAAGTGAAGCCAGAATGAAACAGAAACCCAATTTTATTAGAAATTTTGTCTGGGCCTGAGAGTATAAACGTGACAGATTAAATTATTTAATGTTAAAATATAAAAGGGAAGTACAAATGTGGAGAAAATAATATATTTGAATATTTACTGCACTTTACTCACATAATATTCTTCCGTACTGTGTTTCTGTAACTGAGTTAACAAAGAAATATTCCAGTTACAAATGGGATGGATTAAATGCAGCTTGAGAAAGCTCAAAAGAGAGAAAAGGGATAATAAGGCTGAGCATATGTGGCTTCAGCTTTCGTGACTAAGCTGCATCAGCTGCCAAAGGTTTGTAGTGTCTCAGAAGGCCTTGCAATTTCCATCTGAAGGTTTAATGACTTGTGGGCGGGGGCAGTTCTAATGAAGCTGTGGTCAGATGAACAGAGGAACAGGGAATGACCAACTGGCTAGTGAAAAGAGGTAAAGAAAATATATTTTGGATTTCAGGTGAATCCCAAGAGCTGATGAAAAATGTTTCAGTGGCCACATATTTAATCACTTTTTCTGGCTTCACCTGAACCCCACATTTCTCATTACACCTTTTCATGAACCACATGATCACGTCCCTTTGGTTAGTATTCCGCTCCACTGTTCATCCAGTTATGGCTCCACCTCTGACATACTGCCTAATGTGACAGCTATATAAGAGCTGCCAACCCCCCTCCCCCAAATCATTTACCCTGAAGGTGGCAACTGCAAGGTTTGCTGAAACATTGGAAACTTCAAAGTGACATAGTCTAGTCCTGATGCCAGTCACACATTAAGCTCTAGCCAAGGACTAGAATAAAGAACATGTATGCTGCACAGTACCACTTTACTGCAGGAGTGTATAATGAGTTTGTGGCATCTAATTTGAATCAGAAATACATAAGTAATTGTATATGTAATATGCTCTATATTTGATATGGGAATGTATAAAATAAAAGGTAAATTCCCTGTGCTTAATTAATTAAGCATTATGTCATAAAGAAAGGGCACTATGCTACATACCAGAAGGTCGTGGGTTCAATTCCTGATGAGATCATTGGATTTTTCAATTGACCTAATCTTTCTAGCCACGATATAGCCCAGTGGTCGACTCAGCCTCTTTCAGAAATGAGTACCAGGAATCATCCTGGGTGTAAAGGGCAGCTGGCACAGAATGCTAACAACCTCACTGCCATCTGTGAGCTGATTGTTTAGAAAAATTGACAGCCTCAATATCTCACAAACGTATGGGTCTTGATATTTGTTACTAGGATACCTTTTTACGCTATAAAGACATATGGGGAAGGGGAGTTGTAGGTACACTGTTCTTGACCTTTGCCACTAGAGGGAGTTGAGTGGTTAATATGCCCTAGCTGCTTTAGCCCTGGGGAATTGGATAGAAAGCTGGGTGAGCCCAGAGCCAGTCTGAACACTGTAGAATATGTTAAGCACAAAGCTATCTAAAAAGAGAAGCATACATATCGTGTGTACAGCTGCTTCTATGCAGAACGGTCATTTCTAGGAAACGGAGCAGTAAACACGTTCCTGTAGCAACTAATACCCACACAACAGTAGAGTTACTATTGGAAACGGTGTTTTCTACTTGGTCCATGCTAAGGGTTGATAAGGAAGACAGCAGGGACAACCACCATTGAAATCACTTAAGCTGCCGTTGTAGCATAAGATATGTAAGTTATGCATCATCTGCCCTGTATAGCCTGTCCTAAACTAACTGTTTAGTATTTTAATAGCACAAGTAACCAGTGTACTTCAGTTGATTTTACCCATGTAACCATGCAAGACTGTAGATAAATGCATAAAATTCACATTTATTCTAGGTAAGCCATATGCCTCTTTGGGTTTTGTACTATATCTACTTACCAAAAAGAAGCTTTTGAAGGGCTGATATTGGAAATTCAAACATTAATGATGCAGGTATTGCCAGCAGGATAGCGTACAGCATTGTTGAAAACCAGAGTGACACCTGTTATATTAATATGAAAGTATTAGAAATTCGTAAGTTGTTGATGCAGGCATTACCAACAGGCTAGTCTGCACCACTGCTGGAGACAAGAGTGCCACCTATTTCATAGGCATCTTTGTGTTAGAAATTTTGTTTGATGCACTGTTTGGGATTTCCATTAAGAAAAATACAGAAACTCTAATTGATGCTAGTAAGGAAGTTTGTCTCCTGTCACCACAGCATGGCACAATCTCAGATTGTGGATGGAGGAGATGGGTTCAAGACATGGAGAGTAACAGCAAAAATATGAGCGAGCAGTCACAGACAGCTGACAAGATGTGGTCTTCCAGCAGAAAAACAAACTTTAATTGACGCTAGTAAGGAGATTGGTCTAGAAGTAAAAGCAGAGAAAACTAAGTTTCCAATGTGTGTTGCTGCCTCATTACCAGAATTCAGGTCAGAGTTATAGCATACAGATATCTACTAGATCCTTTGTAAAAAGCAGCAAAGATCAGATATTTGGAAACGTCAGTAACAAACCAAAATTTGATTCAGGAGGAAATTAAGAGGGATTGAACTGTGGTAATTCTTGCTGCCATTCAGTTTAGAACCTTTTGTCTTCCCATCTGCTGTCTGAGAACATAAAAATTTTAATATACAAAACTATAATTTTGTCTGTGGTTCTGTATTGTTGTGCAACTTGTTCTCTGGCGTTAAGGAGGAACATAGACTGAGGGTGTTTGAGACCAGGGTGCTGAGGGGAATATTTGGACCGAAGAGGGATGAAGCAACGGGATGTTGGAGAACACTGCAGCATGAGGGCATGTAACATGCATGGGGCAGCGAGGAATGTATATAGGATTTTGGTGGGAAAGGCAGAAGGAAAAAGACTAATTGGAATAACTAGATTTAAGTGGGAGGATAATATTAAAATGGATCTTAGAGGAATACTGGGATGAAGTTGACTGGATTGATCTGGCTCAGGATAGATACCAGTGGAGGGCTCTTGTGAACACAGGAAGGAACCTTTGGGTGCCATAAAATGTTCCGAATTTGTTGAATGGCTGAATGACTGGTGGCTTCTCAAGAAGGGCTCAGCCCCGTGGAGTTAGTTAACAGATGCCAAAAAGTTTTGGTCACCTTAGCAGTCAACTAATACTATAGTTACATCTAATTGTGCTATTTGGAATACAAAATAAGTTGCAAACTTTTTTTCACTTATCTGCAAGAAAAAGAGTAATCTAGCCTGCTTACCCTTTTTACCTACATCTTATATATTTAATCAATTGAGAAGACAGCATAATATGCAGAATTCTATATTACCAGTAAAACCACAGTTCTATCTTGAACTTATCATCAACATTTAAATACTTTTAATTCATTATTAGCGTGGTAACTGAAGACAATTTTGGGTTCCAAGTATTTTATAATTCTGTTTACAATGAATTTCGTTCTTTTTTCAAGAATATGAAACAAAGAACTTTAAATTAATTTGTTTTAGTATGTCTTCTTTTTTGATATTTGGAAACATATAATCAGTTTCCTCTGTTTGACTCAGAAATAATTATTGAAAACAGATTATTCTTTAGAATATAGGCACTACTCGAATCCAGCACAAAGAACTGTTTTACAAGAGATGTTTTCACCTAAATCAGTACACATGCCACTTGTATGGATAAAACCAAACATTCAACTGATACTGTAAATAGCTCGCCAGATATGCATTCCCTGTGATTAAATTCAGACTTTTGTCTGCATCTAAATGCTCCATTTTTTCTGTGTTTTGTGGACCTTTAAACGAGAACAACTCTTCATGCAAATATCTATGAACTTAATTAGTAGCAGACGTAAATATCAGAAGATAATATGTGGATTAGAAGTTTACCACTTCACTAACCATTTTCATGTCATCATTATATGACACACTTATACTTCGCTCTGTCCTTATTCTTATGAAGAGCAAGTGAAGGAGATAAATGCTGTAAGTCAAGCGGGCCAGAGGTTGGAAGACCTCCCATGACAGGAATGCATTCACTGGCCCTGCAAAAGTACACATTTGTTAATCTTTCATGCTCTATGTGTGGTACAAGCAGCACACAACAAAACTTCTCAACTGCATGATAAGTTAGTTTTCTGTTTTGGTTTTAAGAAATTGTATTGTAGGTCAATGTGTTTTGCCTGTGGTTTTGTTTGGGTCTGCAACTTGGCCAAAGACATTAAGAGAAGAACACAGACTGAAGGTATTTGAGAACAAGGTGCTGGGGAGTATATTGCGACCAAAGAGGGATGAAATGGTAGGAGGAGGAGGATGGGGTTGGATGGGCATGTAGCATGCATGAGAGAGAAAAAAGACTGTATATAGGATTTTGGTGGGAAAATCAAGGAAACAAACCATTAGGAAGACCAAGATGTAGGTGGGTGGACAATGTTAAAATGGATCTTAAGGAAGTAGGATGGAATGGTGAGGACTAATTTTATCTGTCTCAGGATATGGATCAGTGGAGACCTCTTATGAACATGGTAATGAGCCATCAGGTTCCATAAAATTTGGGGAAATTATTGAGTAACTGAGTGACTGGTAGGTTCTCAAGAAAAACTGAACTCCATGGAGTCAGTCAGTTAGCTCTATGAATAGAACTGTTTTTCTCCCAGTCCTATTATCTATGTTATTTCACAAGGGTGTTACATGTGAACTGCTATTATCTTTAACAGCAAAAAGAACTCAGTCTTGAGGTGAATAGAGTTGTTTCTTTTTGGTTTACTTAGCTTGTGTAGAGTCTTATGGATTGTTGATTGTGAATAAAAAGTTTGGAAGGAAACAGTCAAAGCATATTTAAAGCTGAATACTGTACTGGTATTTGCCTGGCGAGACTGAGGGAATCCATGAAGAACTGAAACCAGGAACTGTTACATTCGAAGTGGAAGAAATATGGATATGAACATTTAGGGTTTGCTGATATAGTTCTTTTTTCTAGCTTTACGTATCTGTGTTTATACGAATAATCACTCTGCTGATTCATCTTTACCCTGCATACAGGATTATAGAAATCTTAATGGTTTGGTCGAATTTTTCTTTGATGAACAGAATCAGCAATCTTTACTACAGTTGAAAAATTATCATGTTCTTTTCCACCAAATTAATACTGGTATATGGTATGTCATGTGCATAATCACTAGGAACCTGTATAGGTCTTACCTCCATATCCTGAAACACAGACAAAGATAACCCAAGAAAGTCCTAGAGACCATATTGGTTTTGACAGAGATTTAAACAATGCAAACTCCAAACGGCTAGGGAAGAAGTCATCCTGTACAAACTGATGCTGTACAAGGACTGGTGCAACCAAACAAATAGCTGCCAAGAGCCAACCAGCACCCAGAACTGTCTGCAACATATGTAAACTAATCAGAACAGAGGTGGCCAACTTTTCATTGATGGGATGAATGAGAATTTACATGGAATTTGGTGGGCTGAAAAGAGATAATGTTATGCCTATGTTGAAATAAATATTTTTAAATACCTTCAAACTCAACAAGAGTTTGTAATTGTTTATATTATATGATTCTTTATCAGTACTCACAAAATTAACATGACAGATGGTGTTGCATACAGTTGCTGACATGTTTTCCAATATTTGATGTAATGAAGAATGTTGCCTCCTGAAATGTAATTCTGTGTAGTCTATAGAAAGTCAACCGCCTTTCGGAGGAATATATTGCCTCCATCTTCATGGTTGAATATGCTGAGCGAGAAACCAGCGAGAAAGTAGGTTGCAAGCAGAATTCCTTGCTTAGCTTATGAAGATGGAGGCAAACTCTTCCTCCAAAATGTCAGTTGATATTCAGTGGACTACACAGCATTATATCCCAGCAGGTAGAACTCTTGCCTATTTTCTATTCCCTCTTGCATTTGTTTTATAAGGATAAATCTTCACATATGTTAAGAATAGAATATATAACATCACTGCATTCAGAAACACTTATTTCTCCACATGAAATTGCTTAACTAACTATCAACAGCTGTAAATCTCACTTTCACTTTAAACAAATGTACCACTGGACAGAGTCTTAAAGGGTACTAAAACAGTGCAGAACTACTTTTTTCACTCCCCAATAGAGTGGGAGGATTGTATAAATAAATGTGTTATTTCAGGGGCTCATAATATCCCAAATTTTGAGAAACCTTGTGAGTGTTAGGTAAACTAGCCAACTATATTTCTACTGAAAAACAAATTTAAATTAAGAATAAGGTTCACAAAAATACTCACATGAAGTGAACTTAGAGGTGTCTCCCAAGATCACTTTAAAAATAAAAAGAGTTACAGCAATGTACAGTCTACATTAATAGCCACGTATATTAAGTGACTATAAATTTTGGTGTGTGAATGTGAAACTTAATTAGCTGAGGAAATGTTCTGCTACAATTGAAAGCTTACATCATGCTTACAACAAGCAGTATCCAGAAGCTTTTGTATCTGTGCGGTGAGGCAAGCAAAATGCATAATTATACAATTCAGTTATCCATTTCAGATCATAATTTCATTTTTTCAGTACTTCCACAATCACCATACTTGTAAATAGTCTCAGCAGCTAGCTAAACTCTAAGTGGCAGTTGGTTCCAGTAATCTTAGACTTCCTGTTTCCATTAATACCTTAGGGAGTATAAATAAAGAAATTCAAATGAAGTATGTTGCTGTCTTTGCACAACCTGTATCACATATGAGCTAACTCTCCAGTCAGTGGGCCATGTTGTATTTGAGTATCACAGATATAGCCAACTTAAATGTACTAAGGTTGAGAATAAATAGAATTGTCAGATAATTATCAGTTGTAATCCTCTGAGTTCAGTTTCTCTTTTGACTCCATAGGTTTCACATTCCTGTTCTAAAAACATGTTATTACCTTTGAAAGGCCACTTCTTCTTCCAACAGCTATGTCATTCCTCCATTGAGCCCTACGGTAGAGGCAGTAACCCAAGGCAATTCCAATAAACCAGGGTGCAGCTCGAGTGTGTGCATATGCATAATTTGGAGCAACATAGAAACTGGAGAAAGAACATTTATCTGTATAATGTAATTTTTAACAAATTGGATACTAGTGAGAAAGCATTTATGTTTGCTTTTACTGTCCGTTCGTAGCACACTATAAGACACCCTCAAACAAACACTCGCCCAAATTTCCAAATTATGCTTTTGCTTATTTTATTTATTTTTGTGTGTTATTTAGTAACGTTCAGTACTGAGACTATATGGTGTTAGGTGATGGGCTCTGGGGCCCACCCAGCCTCCTATCCAATGGGAACCTGGGGCTATTTCCCCCTGGCCAAAGTGGCTGGGGCTTGAAGCTAACCACTCAACTCCATGTTGTGCCAAGGTGAAGAATGGTAGAGCTATTCTTCCACTCCCCCATAACTGAGACATGATTGTGTAACTGTCATAGATGGTGTGTAAGAAATTGTGCTGTGATATTTAAATATCTTTAATTTTAGATTTAATATTCTCAGTTCTGATTTTTAATGCATTGTTTAATGATGAGAGAGTCATGTGTAACTCAGCCATTGACTTAGCACTGGAGTCATCACTCATTCATTTATTCCCTGGATGAGAAATGTTACATTTTGGACATAAAGTATCTTTTTCCCAATAAATTATGGGGTACTATATTTTATCACATAATTTATGTTGTTATATAAAACATATTAACGTATTTTTGCGATGAAATTACAAAAATTAATACCCCTTTCTCTTCCATTTGTTAATGAAAGTCAGTAGTCAATGTGTTAGGAAAGAATCATAATTTGGGAAACATTACTGTGTCTTTTTGAGTATATGAGCTTTGACTCCTTCACAAAGAGAATTTTAAAAAATGCCCACCGATTTCACTGTGCCTGTCTGCATGTGACAGCTGGAGAGCTTCAAAACAGATTGTCATTAAATTTTTATCAGGGCGTTTCATTAAAGTTTGCTAACATACTCTGGTCTTGGTTACAATTGTACAGCAATAATGGGCATTTTACATGAAGATATACACGTGTTTCTTTGCACATTTTGAGCATAAGGTCATATATACTTATTAGCATGAAGGATGTTTCACACCAGATTTTTAGAGAGAAAGAACAGCTGCGAACATTGTATGTCCAGTATATGTTTATTATAGGTCTTCTGGTTTTTGACATAACTAAATAAAATTTATATTATGCTATGTTATGTCATAACTTGAGATACATTTAACTGATTCTGTTACGGATCATAGCAGTCGTAGATTGAAAATCTAGAGGCAGTAATGGGACGAACGCCCCAGAAGTGTTGTGATATGCCTACATTTCCTGTCTTGTTTATTGGAGTTTGTAGTATCCACTGATACTTAAAGTTGAAGAATTCTTTTTCTAATAGGAGCTAATTTTTACTCCTGCCATTGTTTTTAATTCCATTGCTTTGGATGGAGAATGGTGCTTTTGTTTCATCAGCGTGTCTAGTAGTTCATGGCCTTTCTGAAGCTCCAGCTTAGTTCATCAATGTGGACTTTTTGAAGATTGAGGGTCTGTGCATTAAGTACTGATGAACTATGGAGCTTATAACATTGTAACAGAGCTGCTTTGGTTTGATAGCTGTCCCATGGAGAAAGATATTATTTGTTTTATCTGAGGAACAAACAAGTTTCTTAATCTTGCTTCTGTGATTTCAGTTATTGTCACTCTAAGATGTATGTAAATGTGATTTACTGATAAGTAGGGCCCGGATTTTTATGACCTAAAAACTATAAATATATGCATGCACTTATGACCCAAAATTATGTCAAATATGACCTAAAAGTGTAAAATATGACCTTAAATATTAAATGGGACATAAAATTTCAAATTGTAATTACAACTTTTACTAGAGTTTAAGAATAAAGATGATGAATATATGATAGTAGGTCCTACTTATCAAATTAGCCCTATTATGTCTCTGAAGGAAAGAAAACTGATGGAATTTCGACATTTCGTACTGGATTAAACCATTCATTGTTTTCTTTTTAATACTGATATTTGCGTTCATATTTTAGACAAACACTGGTGCACATGGTATGAACACTAACTTAACTCTGTTATCTAAAAACACCATTTAAAAGAACACAAGCTATTCACGTCTCAATTTTCACTGTTACAATTGCAATTTATAACTACATGCATTTTCAAATTTTCAAATTTGAAAGATCGCCGATTATCACTAAGGATAGTTTTGTATTTGGAAAAACTTCGTTCCACATCACATGATGTGACAGGAGCATATTTGAAGAATGTCAAGTCGTTTGGTGACAGTTCTGTATCATCTTCGAATGTTGCTAGTTTACCGGAAAGTATATCTGCAATCTTGCATAATGTTGAATAACCAGCATTCCGATGAAGAACACTTTCTATTTTGGTTTTAATCCTGTCACTTATTTCACCACTAGTTCGGTTTAGTTCATTCTCAGTGCTCTTTACAGTGTCCTACGCGTCACAGAGTTCAGTCACTACAAATTCCAGGCAAGTTATTGCACCTGAAATTGGACAGAAGTTTGACTTTATGTATGCCAGATTTTGTGCTAGAGTGGTAGAGAA